ATTTAAAAAAAAAAAAAAAAAAAACTACTAGATAAAAACATAGGGGAACTGTTATTTTTTCTGATGATTAGTTGGAGAAGGACTTTTTAAATTTCTGGTTCAATATGCAGGGGCTAAAATAAAGAGTACTAGGGTAACAACTACTTGAGAAACAGTTAGCTCACTAAATTCCTTCATTCACTCACTGATGCCACTGCCATACACACACACAAACACATTCCTACTAGATAGGGAAACACAGATTCTCCAACAAAACACCATGCAGATTAAAAGAGCCCCATCCATGTGCTCAGAGCTTCAAATCAATCAGTTCTCAGTTCCTCCTATCTTAAATATGAACAAACAGCTAAAAATTACTAGAGACCTAAAGAAAGCTTCTAACCAAGAAGGTAGAAACTAACACAAACAGAAGAAAAGCAACCTAAGGGGGGGTGGGGGGGTGGGGGGTGACTACACAGGGAAAAAAATTCTTCAAGAAATGATTACTATTTCTAGTCTTAAATAAGGGAAAATATTGCCTACATAAAGAAGAGGAAAAAATAAACAGAATGTTCCAAGGTAAAATAAAATTCAGAGAACAAAATATAATAGAGAAATGAATAATTCAACAGAAGGGCTAGAATAAGAAATTGAAGAAATCTTCTAAAAAATAAACAAAAAGACAGAAACAAAAAATAGGATAAAATTATAGACACCCTATCCTGGAGGTCCAACATATCAATAATGGAGCTCCAAAAAGAGAGAAAGAACAAAAGAAGGAGAAAATTCAAAGAAATAATTCCAGAAAAATTCCCAGAAGGATATGAGTTACTAGTTTGAAAGAACCTAGAATCGATGAGTAAGTCTAGAAATAAGGCAATGGAACAGTGCTTCCAAAATTCTGAAGGAAAATTATTTCCAACCAAGAATTATACATTCAAACTATCAGCAGTTACAAAGGTAGAATATAAAGGTATTTTTCAAATGTGCAAAGTCTCAAAATATATTTATCTCCCAGGTATCCTTCCCCAAGAAGATGCTCAAGAACATACTTCCCTAAAAGGAGAGTATATACAAAGAAAGAAGAAGATGTGGCTTATATAGGAAGCAGGAGATCCAAGAGAGAAGAGAGACCATGGGAATACCTAAGATGAGAAAAAAGGGAGATCTCAGGATGGCAACTGTGCCCCAGACCCAAGTCTGTTGAGGCCTATCAGTACCCAATATCCCACTGCCTCTGTACCCTCTTCTTAACCAGAGAACAGTATATGCATACAAGCCTGGCCCAGATTCTTATCTTGGCTTGGCTTTTCTTGACCATGTGCTGATGAAGTTCCTACTCTTCCCCTCCACATTCTACAAACTAGATGACATGAGGGCCTTCATATTATCCCACAGAAGTGGTCTGCTTTGATCTGCTTCTAAACTGTCCACTCTCCCTGGTCATATTCTTGATAGATTTTCTAGGAACTGCTCCATATTACAGTCCTATCAGATACCCTCACTACTGTTATGTATTTTGTTTGCCAAGGTTCACACATGACCTAGCCCACTGACTTCCCCAAAAGCGGCTCTTGTGAACTCTTATGGAATCAGAAGTCAGACTATGACCCACAGTCTTCTGTTTGGTTTAACTTCTCCTGAGAGCCTTGTCTCCAACAGTGGCAATATGGCCCTTTCCTTCCATAGCTGTACGTGTGCTTGCTGTTCAGATTTTCAAAAACTAAACAGTATCTTTTTGAGGGATACATTCATCATCGGTGTTTTTTAAAAAAGATGAAGAGAAAGGTTAGAGTGGAGGGAAAGAGAAGAGAAAAAGGGAGGGGAAGGGAGGGGAAGAAAGGAGGAAAAACAAAGAAAAAGAGGAACAAAGCAAGAGAACATTCAGCATCACAGTCAAGACATGGGTTACAACTATGGAGGAAAGGAAAAAGATGCAACTGTGGAGAACACAGGTGTAGGGTGGGGGTACCAGTACCATTCTATTCCTTAAACTGCATACTA